TGGTATGTTAAGAGGCTGAGAACAGTTCATGAAAAACCATACTAATGCAAATTGTCACCAAAATTTACAAGCTGGTTTATTGATTGGATGAATATTAGATGAACTCTAAACAGGAAACATCTATTAAAGCTTTTTTCCACAGTACCATTATGCCATGCCATCTTTTGAAGAAGTTCAAAGCAGTCGACTCTAAGAAATGTCATGGGTTTGTTTTCTTTTAAGCATTACTGCATTCAGTTCATTAGAACAATACCTATTATCATCTGTTTGGGTTTCTAATAAGGTACCACTTCTGTAATTTTGTTGTACAATCTTCGAATCTTTCAAGTAGGGCACAATGTATTTCTTCATATCGTCTTGTGACATTACTAGATGAGTTCCTGGTAGACTTACATACTTGACCTTTCCTGCATCGTCAAGTGCCTTTAAACCAATCCAATCATCGACATAAAGCTTTGTCTGCATTCCCGAAACAACAAGCAAATCAATGATTGCACAATCAGCAATCTAGTGTTACCTAAACTTACAAATTGTTGAAACAGAAAGTTCATTTCAGAAAAAGAACACATGTATGTATCAGACAAGGAGAATACATTAATAAAGAAAGTAAGGCTGACAGAAGCAAATTCACCTGTTGAGGAGGAAACACAGAGCAGAAGGAACCATCAGGATAATACCCGAACCACGAGGTTTCCTTAGGATTTAGAGCTTTATCGCGGTCAAACTATTTGATCATACAAAGGGGTGTCACCTTTTATCATAACACATCGTTTAAGTTTACTGCTCATTAGAATTTTAGCTTAATCTCACCTTAATAAGAACCAAGTTCTCTAAACTTGTAAATCTTTTCTTGTAGGTCAAATTTTTCATTTGGTATTTCGTTGTTAAGCTTTGGAAGAAATTTAGATTTATCCAGATATACTGCAATATTCTGCAGGATAAGAAAACTGAATTTTAGATGCGTTGCATACTCTGGCATCAAAGTAGACAACATGTGTTGGTTGAAAATTTTCTTACATTTGGAATTTTGAAATAACCACTGGCAGCCAAATGATTCTGCATTTCAAAGAAACAACAGGATTATTTTTCTTAAAGACAGGAAGCATTTTCTTGGTCAGAAGCTGAATGAATAGGTACTGGCATAACATTTAACTGTAAACGACGAATAAAGTTGTTATCCATGGATGAAATCGTAATAATCTTTAAGGAGGTAAGACAGATGCTTGCTTGGATAAAATTTCTGTAGATGCCAAATTTGATCAGTTTTGCTGCTGCAGAGTTCATGACTCTAAACTGCTGATGAATCGAACCAAGCATGTCATCATCTGTTTGAACTGCATTTTGCTAAAACCCTGAAGCATGTACATTATTGACCTTTTCTGTTCCAAAGTTGCTCACAAAAGAAAGAAGGATAAAAACTGGATTGCAACGTCAATCAGAAAATCCTCGAATGCTTTGTGAAAATGATTTTTACCTGTAAGAACTAATTGAAAAAAGCAAGATGCTTACAGGATATGAAGGAGCTGAAGCAATTCCTGCATGCGGTCCTGCTAATGAAATGAAGTTCCTTACCTGTTTGATTCCATCAAAACACCAGCATTACATGATCATCACCCAAGAGAGGCGGTTGTATGCTAAGAATATAATTCCTTCAACAAGTTCTATTAGTAGGGAATGAAATTCTTCTTACAGGTGGAATTCCGTCACAAAATTCTATTATGCCTCTTGCAATTAAGTTACCCTGCAAGTTTGCAATGCAGCAGCTTAGTAAAGAACAGCTGATTGGGGACATTAGAAACTTTATGCAAAGGTAACAGTTCCTTGTACAAATGAGAAAAGGATGAGCATCAAAGGTGAGTAATGACCTGAGAAAGACCGACAATGTGAAAACCCTTATTAAGCTCTTTCATCTGCTTCACCTGTTGTTTCAACAGCAAACATGCAGTTATCAAACACTTTATCAAAAAATGTTGATTCCCTAATTAAGCAGACAGAATGACTGATTGTAACTCTGAAGCTGTGTCGATCACCTTGCTGCAAGCAACTGTCACCTGATCCTGTAAGGGTAAAAGCCAAGACCTTAATCCTCCATTGCCTTCTCTGAAGAGCATGACAAAGAAGAGAATAATCACAAACCACATGTATGAAGTTACTGAGGCTAGTAAGCTATTGACAGAAGTTAAGTGCATAACCGGAGGGTATCAGTTTATCATCTTTCGAGACACTGATTTCCACTCCAGAGCAACCCTTTTTGGTTACACATCTTGCTTGCTTTACCAAAGAGGGAAAACCAAATACTAGCATCTTGATATATGTACTGATGTACGCAATGAGTTGGGAGCTTGTGATTATAATCCAGAAGTCTAAGGGATCCCGGATAACTTGATGGGTATTTTTTTTTACAAAAGCATGAAAGAAAACAATACAAACATGATTGAATGTGCTTTAATAGCAAAGCTATGTATGATGAAAAAGTGTATACATATGAAATGAAGATGGAAAGCGAACAGGCATACATGCAGTATCCTTGAGCAGCTGACCATTCACTTAACTGCTTAGTGAACTCAGCAATTTTTTGATTAGTACACTTTTGTCCAATGCCTACATCATACTTAAAAAAACATTATGAAACACTCAATAACTATATGAAACAGGCATTTAAGAATCCAAAATGTCAGTAAAAATTCTTCTAGGATTGCTGCAGTTAAACTAACCAATTATTAAGATAACAAACAAATTGTAAAGGATATAAAACCAGATGATAAAGTTAAGTAACACTACATCAGTCCCTCCATTTTTTTTTTTTATTTCTCGATTTTGACTTTCAAGTTGATGCACAATTTAAACAACTGTTATAGTACCATGGATGACTATGAATGGAAGAGAGATTGAGGTGGGGATGTAAGCGACCAAAGTGACGATCAAGATGAAAAAAGATAGTAAACGAAGCACCATTTTCTTTACTTTTGGTATGGAATTCAAGTTGCATGCACTTTTTTTTTATTTACCTCTTTATTTATTTATATCTATCAAGTTGTCCAAATTCATGAGTATAGTGTGTTATACATCAGTACATAAAAACAAATAACAATTTACGGAGTACGCATAGTTTGTTCTACTCTACTTGCATCCTTTTCCTCACTTGTTAGCAAAATTGTCATTGTTATCTTCTTTAAAATAAATAAGTTCACCTTTGATTTATTTTCGAATATTATGACCTTTCAAACATCTTCCATAAATAAGTTAACCTTTGATTTATTTTCGAATATTATGACCTTTTATCCCCATCTTCCATTAATAGGACAATTTACTGGAAACCGGCTAAAACTTGTTGTGGTGGTCAATGTTAGGGGTTGAATGTGATATTTGGTTGATAATTTGTGAGAAAAATGTAAAAGGCTCCACACGATAACTATATTTTTTAATGTATTACAGATGGTTATTAAAGGAAACTTTAAAAATAATTGGAGTGTCTAACACGCGTGCCATTCTTAAATCAGTCTTGTTTAGAAAACTTTTTCAATTATTTGACCTTATGTTAGAAATGTTAAATTGTGACTCGAAATCTAGTAGGGTTGACTTTGAACGCTGATATTTCTCAAACTACAAGGGATTTTGAGGTGATTCAAGTTGGAGGTGATAGCTTGGTTCAAGAGCTTTCCAACGATAGGTCATATGCCTAATTCCGATAAGAAACGAGAAAGTTATGACTGTTTTACGAAAACCCGACGAAGCTGGAAATTTGCAACGAGGCTGCGAGCTATAGCTCTATGCGAGTGAGTTATAGCTCGGCCCTATGAGGACTTGAGGCAGGTATGAGCTAGCTGTCGAACTATAACTCGGTAGTTAATTATTCTAGGATAATTGATGGAATATTTCCTAAAATAATATCTTTTCTATGGCGGCTATTTGAGGAAAAATCTTAGGGTTTTATTAGGGTTTCCTTGTATTATAAAAGGACATTTTAGTCAATCAATTATATTATACCTTTTTTTGAGCCATTAGATTTAGGACTCCTTGTATTTTTATTCTCTTATTTATTTCTCCATTATAAATCCCCCACCCGTGGATGTAGGTCTATTTTATTTGACCGAACCATGTAAATCCTTGTGTTCTTTGTTTATCTTCTTTATTGCTTTTCTCGTTCTTATTTTTCATTGATTTGTTCCGCATTAATCAAACACAATTACACCCTTATTTCCTAACAAGAAACATTAATGAGGAAAAATATGTAAACACATACAGAATATTTTTAAGGGTATAAATATCCATACGATTCTTAAGAGTTGTAAAAAGGCAATTAATATTTAATGAGGACAAGTAAGTAAATAAACATTTTAGAAGCTATAAGTATTCAAACATTATTCATAAAAGTTATTTCAAACTTTTTAAAAGGTAGGAAAGGTAGGAAGGAATGTCAAAATTTTAAGTGTAACCATTATATTATACTCGAAATACCAATCGGCTTCCCCTCTCCTCATCACGTTTGACACTCGAACAAACTAGTTAGTACTCGGTATATAAGGTATCAATTTGAGTAGCTGGGTAGGATTCAGACCATTCTGTGAGGTTGATCGAGTTGGGTCAATTTTATTTTAAATCAAAGTCATACTCCCTCCGTTTTAAATATTTGCTCCATTTCTTTTGGACATGCATGCCGATGCTATTCTTTGATCATTAATATCTTTAATTATCAATAGGTATAACTTCTAACAATTGAAAATTAATAATCTATTCATTGAGATGATTCCAACGAGTACCTACACGACTATATTTTTTTTCTTATGTATAAATTACAAACATTAGTCAAAGCAACTCCTTTTGCATGCCCCCGGTTTACAATAATTTTATTGTACATCGAACATTTTTGTGAAAAGTGACCCTTTTTCTTTACAAAAGTGACCCTTTTTATTACAAAAGTGACCCATATTTTTACAAAAGTGACTTTTTTTTTTTTTTTTTTTTTATTTTTTTTTTATTTTTTTTTAACAAAAGTGACCCTATTTTTCACAAAAGTGACCTTTTTTTTCCCACAAAAACAGTATCAAAATAATAAAAAAAAAAAAACACAAAATGCAAAAGTTAACCCAATGGCTCTACTACTTTCATCCCGTATCTTTATCTCTCCTCAAAACTAAACATTTCCACCATTAACAAACCTTCAAATTCTCTCTCCGCTAACAACGCCGATAGCGCTGAAACCATCGCCGATTCCACCATTTTCAACCATCTCACTGAGCAAAGCGACGATGACGATGATTCTTTCTTCGAATTAGAGCTCACTTCACCTTCTTCTGACTTCAAATCTTCTCTCTCCACTCCTTGCTCAAAAAATTCAGTAGAAAACATCTATAATTGTATAGAAGAGAAGGAATCTGAGTTGAAAATCAAATTAAATCTCAAAAATTAAGGGAAAACAAGATGAAAATGGAAGAGAAAGAAAGAGAAAGTAGAGTAGAGCCCTTTCCCTAAATAATGTTGGGAAAACACACAATTCCCAAATTACCGCTAATCTTTTTTTAATTCCCACTGTACCGTCCACGTCAGCGGTTCAGTTGGAATTTTTTTAAAAACCGGTTTATTAAAAAACCGTTACTTAAAGTAGCGGTATACGATTAAAAACCGCTACTTGAAATAGCGGTTTATTTAGAGAAACCGCTACTTCAAGTAGCGGTTTGTATTTACTAAGTATTTTTTTAACAAAATCACGTCTCTTTTCCCTTGTAAAATAAATCAACTGAATCATCTCCAAAAAAAAAAAAAAAAAAAAAAAAGTCGACACTCCTCACCATCATCAATCCTCGCGCCGGAAGTTGTAATCGCCGCCGTCACCGACTTGCTCACGGTTGTTTGCGGACACTATGGCAGAGAATTAGTGGAATTGTTGTTGGGTTTGCTGAATTACTGGTAAGTTGCTCGTTGTTTGTGCCCTAATTATTTTTTTAATTCAATTATCAAATTAATTGATTTACTTTTTATGAATTAATAGCTTTCTTAGTTTGTTCTTGTTTGTATTTAGCTTTCGTTGCTTTTTGTTTGCTGTATTTATAGTTTGTTGCTTTTTCTTTGTTGATCCCGTAAGCATCTTCATTAAAAAAAAATTAAATTAATTCTATGCTAAATTAATTCAAATTAAGTGTGTAGTTTTAGTGTTGATGTTAGGACTAATTGAATATTATTGTAGTATGCTTGCTGTAGACTTGTAGAGTTCAATCTCTTGGTTTCATAAAAAAAAAATGAAAAACAGTTGTTAGTTGTCTCTTTACCATCAACATTAAGCAATTACATGGGACCATATGCATACATGAAATATTAAATTGTTAGTTGTCTCTTTCTTAGTATCTTATCATTTTGCTGGGACCATTGGCTTTGATTGTATCATATTTTTTTACTAGGACCCATTAACAGCTTATTTGTTTTAATTATATAGAGGTGTTTGCATGCTTCATATAGTATAAAATATGGAATGCCAATGAATGCATAGTGTTAATTTAGGATTATTATAATTTAACTAGTTTAATTATTAGTCTTGTTATTAAGTTTGCTGATGATTAACCACCATTACATGTGTGCAAGGGGGTTTCTAAATAAATTTATATTCGTGCCCGTCTTATTAAAATTTTGCAAAACTAATTTCTTAAATTAATCATGGTGTTTTTAGAATGAAACATGGAGGTACCAAACTACCATCTATATTGTTATTGGGGTGGGGAAATTAATCACAAAGATGGTGATTTAACGTATAGGGGTGGAAATCAAAAATTTGTTTTTGTAAATCATGGGATGACATATTCACACGTTCTCAACAAGCTATATGAAGAATTGAGTATTGATCCTAGATTTGTGGAGTTGAAGGTGGTTATGCGGTATCCTATGAATGGGGCATATGTCGCAATTCCATTGAATGACGACAATGCTCTTAGGGCTATGTGAATTGCTGTGACTCAGACTTCTTCTATCGCAATGCAATTGTACATTGAACAGGTTCCAAAGGAGCCAGTTGTGCAAACTGTAACTGGTTCCTTTCTGGAAACGGATTATTTTTGTAGTATGGAGCAACCAATTTCCCTTACTAATCAAAGTGTGGGGATAGGCTCATTCACAAGAATGCTTGTTGATCCCGAATATGTCAATGAACATCTTTCAGAGATTAGGTCTCCGACCTCATTGCCTAATGTTGGAACCTCAACAAGCACACAACCACAAGCCATTCTCGATTCTCTTGACCCAAACAATGTTGATGTTTTTGGGGATGTCGAGATGAATGATACTGATGAAGATGATGATGAAGATGTAATTGAAGCTCGTGATAAGGCAATTAAAGATAGCGCTCCTACTACAGACTTCAATGAAGTGCCGCAAGGTGATCCACGTTTAAATAACTCATGGATGACTTGGTTAGGAAATGAGACATATAACACGGGTGGGGAATTTGAGGTTGGACAACAGTTTGATTCATTGCAACAACTGAAAGATGCTGTGAAGTCTTACTCCATAGTTAGAAATCAAACCATTCGAGTTGTGGAGTCAGAGCCAGAGAAATATGTTGTTGAGTGCAAGAGGAAAGATCAATGTAGTTGTTCGTGGAGGCTTAGAGGAGTGAAAGATCCAACACTATCTACTTTTAAAATTGTTCGGTACAACGACCCTCATGCAAGTAATTGTGTTAGTGACATCGACTCCGTGGATCATAAGCTACTAACTTCTGAGTTTGTTTGCAATGCTCTTTTAGATGTCCTTCGTGTTGACCCTTCATTGAAAATCAAGACAATAGTGCAACTTGTGAAAGAGAAGTTTGAGTTCTCAATAACCTACAAGAGAGCATGGTTAGCGAAACAAAAGGCAATAAAACTCATTTATGGGGATTGGGAGGGTTCATTTCAAGAGTTGCCTAAGTACATGCAAGCGTTGAAGGAATCAAATGTTGGAACTGTTGTTGAGTGGAGGTTGTTACAGAGTACAGTACCTGGAACTTATGTTTTCCAACGAGTTTTTTGGGCATTCAAGCCATGTATTGATGGATTCCGTCATTGTAGGCCCCTTATCACTATTGATGGAACTCATTTATATGGAAAATACAAAGGGACTCTACTTATTGCTATGGGAACCGATGCTAATTTTCAATTATTCCCCCTTGCGTTTGCGGTTGTTGAAGGAGAAAACAATGATAGTTGATCTTGGTTCATGGCTTGTATTAGAGCTCGGGTAACAGATAGAAAAGGTCTACGTGTGATATCTGATAGACATGCTGGCATTTTAGCAGCAATGGATGAGGTTGGAAGTGGTTGGGATCAGCCCAATGCCTATCACAAGTATTGCACACGTCACTTGGCTTCTAATGTGAATTCAAAATTTAAAAGAGTCGTCATAAAGAACCTTTTTGAAAAAGCAGCTGATGCAAGGCAAAAGAAGAAGTTTGATCACTACATGAACAAAATTGGTCACTTGAATGTAGAGGCTCGTCGGTACTTGATGGAGATTCCATACTATAAGTGGTCCATCCACCATGATGGTGGTTTAAGGTTTGGTGTGGAGACTACAAATATGTCAGAAGTTTTCAATGCATGGAGTCTTAAAAGGGGCTCGTTGTCTCTCAATAACTGCCTTAGTGCAAATAACCTTTTTTCGAGTTAACTCCTATTTTGCAACTACACGAAGTTGGAGTAAAAGAAGACTTGAAGAGGGCCATGAGTTATCAGAAAAGGCTACAAAGACAATAGAGGCCAACATGGAGAAAGCCATGCACCATGAGGTTGTTGCTTTTGACTATGATGCCATAGGGTTGTATCAAGTTAGGACAGGTCGTGGAAGGAGAAAAGCTGGTAAAGGTGGTAACTCCCACACTGTGAATTTGATGAGAAAGACATGTACTTGTGAGAAGTTGAAAATATACAAGTTACCATGCTCTCATGTCCTAGCAGTTTGTCGGCATTGAAGCCTATCACACTCAGATTTTGTGGATTCTTTTTTTAGGACCGCCGAATACGGACATTCTTACTCGAAGTGTTTCACACCAGTTCTCGATCCTTGCCATTGGTCCACTTACAATGGGCCTAATGTTGTAGCCAACCCAGATCTGAAAAGAGGCACAGGCCGACGATCTACTAGAATCAGAAATGAAATGGATGAGCGTCCATATCGTGTCAAGAAGGCATGCAGTATTTGTCGATGACCTGGGCATAACAAGAAGACGTGTCCTATAATTAGTGGTGGTGTTGGATCATCTGGGTAATGACCATTAGATATTGCTAAAATGCTTAAATTGTGTTCTAAAAAATTGAAATCTTATTTATTATTATTATTTTTTTTCCTTATACATGCTTGAAATTAATTAAATTTCCTCTTATCATGCAGGTCCCATGGATCCGGTGATTCGACCAGGCCCAATTGATTCATCTGTTCTACGGTTGCAAACTTCCCATAGGAGTCATGATGTTTGGAGTGGTGTGGCTGATAGAGTTTTGTCAGTTAGGGAGCATGTGGTCAGTTTGGGACGTGAGTTGAGGGTAGAGGGTGGAGTACTAGACTATGTGAAGCGCATTGGGTTTTACGGTGTGCATAGAGTAGCAGGTGGAGGGTTTTTGCTTGACCGTTCTCTTCTCACTGCGTTGGTTGAGAGGTGGAGGCAAGAGACACATACTTTCCATCTTGTGTTGACTCCTTGGCGTGCAGGTAGTGTATTGCTTACAGTTATAGTTCTTACATTGTTGTCCCTGATGAGAACTAAGAATTATTTTTAACTATTTTTACAGTTGGCTACGTGTACATCTTTCGTGTGCGCATACTGCTTCTGGACTCTCATACTATCGAGATGCGTTTGACCATCAACAAGAGGACCAGGTATAATCGTTGTTTTGTTATGCATTGGCATTTGTTCATTGTAGTAGTTATATTAACTTATACAAATAACATACCTATTTTGGGAATTAGATGATTTGGCAGCCATATACCGAGGTGGTTATGGAGCGACTTCCAGAGGTTTGTCGCTCTTTGTCGCTCTGACATTCACATTTGGCGTACACGCGCCCCTCTTATTTGCTTTGACGTCGTTGAGTTCCACCTCCCAGATCGAGTCATGCGTTAGTTCGGGTTAGAGCAGCCGATCCCAAAGGCAGTAGACACGGACGTTGCTCTACACAAGAAGGATCGAAGGGGACAGCGTAACTGGGAGATTCAACATTCGGACCATGTACATGACTGGGGTCGACGAGAGGCATTAGTAGTCCAGGGTAACACGTTCACTGGGACTTCTTCACTAGTCATGACAGAGTACATGGCTTGGTACCGTCGCATCACGAGGTCGATCATTACTCCACCTTCGCAGCCACGCCCCCCAAGTCATTACCAGCCATCTAGCTCTGACCTAGTACTTGTATGAACTTCATTTCATTTCAATTACAAAGTAGTTATTTCTTTTTGAATTCATTGTACTAACATTAAAACTAACTTCAATGCAGGCACATGCAGTTGCTGATTTGCACGCGAAGCTATCGGGAGCTACTTAGACCATCTCTGATTTGCCACCAGACAAGGCTCTACCATTTGCCATTCAAATGATACAAAGTCTTACATCATTTTGTGGGCAGACCTTGTCTAGGGTGGGGGCATTCACACCTTATTGAGCAGCCTCGAGTGTCCACCTCGCTATCTTCTTCTGCTTCTATTGTGCACACTCGGCCGATTAGACCACCATCCCATCGTGGTGGTCATTCATCACGTGCCTTTCGTCCACCGACTCCCATTCGCTCTCCCTTGCATGCTCCTTCCCCCTCTCCCTTACACGGTCCTTCTCCCTCTCCTACAGTTTGACATCCAGTTGTCACTTCTGCTCCACTCTTTCCACCTCCCCCACCCTCTCCTCCTCCTCAAACTCTACTTGTTTCTCCTCAACATACCATCGTCACATCTCCTCCACTAGTGCAACACCAGTATCAAAGAGTTCGATGGCGTGGAAATAGTAGGTCTCAGCTTGGAGTTGGAGTTGGCCTACATGATATTCCAGAGGACGAGACAACTACATCACCTTCATCATCACTTCATGGGAAGAAGCAACGTACGAGCTAGGTGTATATTTTGGTACCATTGACATATGCTATTTTGCAAATGATTAGTATTTTAGACTTTGTTTATAATTAATATTTGATAAGTATTTGACATTGCTCTTAGATTACCTTAATACAATTTTGACTTCCATGGATTAGAATGTTTAAGTAAGTTGTTATTTGTGGTGGTTGTGTAGAAGATATGGTATATGGACTTTGCAGGCTGAAAATAGTAGGTTTTAAGGTTTTACAGGTACACTTGCAGGTTTTTTTTTTGGCTGATTTACTAATATTTTTTTTTTTTAAAAAAATTACAGCAAAAACCGCTACTTGAAGTTGCGGTGTCTATTATATAAACCGCTACTTCAAGTAGCGGTGTTCAATATGTAAACCGCTACTTGAAGTAGCGGTGTTGTAAGGAAAACCGCCACTTTAAGTAGCGGTTTATGAAATTAAAACCGCTACTTGAAGTGGCGGTTTTCCTCACAACACCGCTACTTCAAGTAGCGGTTTGTTGCTGGACCGAGAAAAAAAAAACCAGTTTGTTCTCATTAGCTTACGTGGACGGTACGGTGGGAATTAAAAAAAAATTAGCGGTAATTTGGGAATTGTGTGTTTTCCCAACATTATTTAGGGAAAGGGCTCAGTAGAGTATGAGGAAGAGAGAGAAAAAATGTTTGTCTTAACATTTGCCAACTAGAAGTACCAAGCACGTGAAAGAATTTGGTAACAAATTACTTTCCGATTTGTTACCGACTTACCGCCATTCACTAGTTTTATGTACACCGGGTTTTTTTGAAAGTTTGTGTAGTCAAAATAGGATAAATGAATAGTGAAAAAATAAAAATGGAGCAAGTATTTAAAAACAGAGGAAATACTAAATTATTGTGTCCATACATGTTAAAATATACGAGTAACTTGCATTTTGTTCGAGTCGGTCCGATCAACTTTTGACCCCTCAAAATTAACATTGTACATTAATACATTACACGGAGTACAAAATAAAGTTTCATTACCGAGAGTCCTGCCCCTACATAAGAGTTCCAAAGCTTCATACAAAAATTTAAACTACACTCACAGACTCACAGTCACATTTGCTCGCAGCTCCTGCCCTTTCATTTCTGCCGCCCGAGCCATTAGGTCAGGTGATTCCCACAATTTCCATTAATTTTCAATTCTTTCGTATTCTGTCATTTTCCTTTGTTTTCTATTGCACTGGCATTATCTGCAATTTTTATATAATTAAACTAGTAAAATGTGGATGAATCATAATCTTTAAACCCTAATACCCTGCTCAACTTTGGTTTGTTATATTTTCTAATTAAAGTTTTATGCTTTATATCTTGTTAATTACTGATGTTATTTTCTAAAGTAAATTACTTTGATATTTTTTACATTTTTTGAATAAAGATTGCATAATTTAGACTTTCTCCATTGTTGTTGTTTTTTTTTTTTTTTTTCTTTGTGCCCTTTGGACTTATTCACTAATTTTAAATTACTTCATCATTTATTCATTTGTGATTTTTGGGTGTGAAATACTTCGTATATGGTTGCATGGGATCTTGCCGGATGTGTTTATATATACGTTTATATTTTCAAAATGTCAAAGTTTTTAACTTTAACCTAAAAAATTAAAGATATTAATAATCAAAGTTGTGCATTGGCAAACCCGAAACTTCAAATATGTTGCAATTGAAATAAAATAGGATAAAGTATGTAATTTAGTCCAATTAGTTGAAAATTGTGGTTAGTAGAGGGTTTGTGAAGGAATTATGGAATTGGTTGGCATTAATCACTATGTTGGAGAATGACAGGGTTTGTGACAGTAGTTCTTATTGAATTTATGTTAAATTTAATTTAATTTTTTATTAGGATGTGATGGATGACACTCCAGAATCAAGAAAAACAAAGCCAGAAATTACCTTAGTGTCTATGTTTCAGAAGAAATTTAAAGCCATGGAAATGACTCCTGCTTTACCAAATGCAACCCAAGACAGTGACAGAGATGGAGATGGAGATGAAGATTCGTCTTCTTCTTCGCAAAATAGTCAAGGAACCGGAATGGAATCAGGCAATTCGAATGCTGATAAATTACCATTAGCCGAGAATGGCCAACTTGTTGAAAGGGATCAGCTTGTTGTTGAAAGGGATCAACATGTTAAAACTGAGTATGATGCTTGCTTGGCCATGTCTCTTAAAAGTTTGAGGTTTCTTCTGCGCCAAGGGTTGGATTGTTGTGGTCAGGAGGAGCGCTTGGAGTGGGATTTTAATAACGTAGGGAATTTTATTGAACTTATCAAGTTGTTAGGTTCGTTCAATGAAGATTATCAAAAGGCTGTTTCAGAAAATGCTTTGGAACATTATCAGATTACAAACCATGAAGTTCAGAAAAATCTCATCACTGCTTGTGCCAAAGCAACAACTAAGCTTATTGTTCAAGACCTCGGTGATGACTACTTTGGAATATTAGCAGATGGGTCTCATGATAAATTCCATGAGTATCATTTGTCTCTCTATTTGCACTATGTTGATAAAAAGGGTATGGTAATAGAACGGTTTCTTGGAGTTGTGTGGGTTGATGGTTTTGCTCCTGAGTCATGTAAGGCTGCCATTGATTCTTTGCTCAAGGAGCATTCACTGAGTCCATGTAAGATTCGTGGGCAGAGCTACAACGGGGCTAATAATTTGGCTGGTAACTTGAATAGTGATATTAATGGCCTTAAGACTTTGATAATGAAAGATTCTCAATCTGCATACCATTTTCATTGTTTTTCTCACCATATTCATTTGACACTTGTAAATGCTGCTGGAAACTGTGCCGATTTGCAGTATTCATGAGACTTGCTGATTTGATGACCCTGATTAGAGAATCTTGTACATGAGTAGAAATGCTTCAAGAAGCTCAGGCTCAAAAAGTTCTAGAGGCGCTGAGATCTTGTGAGCTTGAGAATAGAAAAGATGTGATTCAAGAGTTTGGCTTACAGAGACCTTATGACAGCTGGGAATATGATCACTTTAAAACCCTATTGCATGTTGTTACCATGTTTCCTACAATCCTGGATGTCCTTGACCTGATTGCTGAGGTCTCAAAAGTAGAATACCGAGTGAAAGCTGAAAGGCTTTTGAACTCATTTTTATCATTTGAATTTGTTTTTGTGGCGCACTTGATGATGAACATATTAGGGTACACGGATGTGCTACATCGTGCTTTGCAAAGTAGGGATCGTGGTATTGCCAATATCATTATCCTTGTTTCTGTGGTTAAGGAGCAATTTCAAAAGATGAGATCAGATATTGGATGGGAAAAACTCTTGAATGAAGTCTCCTCATTTTGTTTAAAAAATGACATTGAAGTTCCTGATATGACTGCTGATTATGATCCATCTGGAAGATTAAAGCGTTTTGTCAAACCGGAACCGGACACAAATCTTGATTATTTTCGAGGAAATATTTATTTTTTTGTTATTGACAAAAGCATTCAAGAGCTTAACAATTTGTTCGATGAGACAAGTATGGAATTGCTTTCTTGTATGGCTTGCTTGAACCCAGCTGATTGCTTTGCTTCTTTTGACAAGCAAAAATTGATCAAACTCGCCAAGTTTTACCCCAGTGAATTTTCCTCTGTTGATTTGATGGGCCTTGAGTATCAACTTCAAAACTTTATCACTGACATGAGGAGTGATAATAGATTCAGGAATTTGAAGGACATTGGGGAGCTTTCAGTGAAGCTTGTAGAAACAAGGAAGCACGATGTGTACTGGGCTGTCTATTTGCTTGTGAAGTTAATGTTGATTCTCCCTGTGGCAACTCCAAGCATCGAGAGAACAATTTCTGGTATGAACCATGTAAAGTTTAAGCTGCTGAATAGTGTAGGTAGCCAGCAGTTGTGTGATTCCTTGACCACTTATGTTGAGAGGGATGTCTTTTCTGAAGTTCTCGATGATGATATCATAAGTTGCTTCAAAGATATTAAGGCTAGTCAGGATTAGTAGCGACTTTCATTTCCTTATTTGTAATTCATTTTGCTTAAGACATTAGCTTTAACTTAAAGTTTGCATGACAGAAGTACAAATTTCAAGCTATTATCTTATTCATATTACTTCTGTTTCAGCTGTTTTTTTATTCTTCCTATATTTGCTTTTTTGGAGGTGCCAGGGATAGTAATATGACAAGGTCTTGACAAATATGGGGATCTAATTGCACGGTGCGCCCCTGAATTCAGTATCTAATTCGTGTAAATAACTTTGTTATGCTCCAACTGTGTGACAGCTGAAACAAGTGCAGGTTTTTCGTGTCTAAAATTCTTTCATGCTTGTGCTCTATAGATCATGATGCAAACTGCTGTACATTTCTATAATCCCTGGTTCTGCAGTAACATTCTGTATAAAAAAATTGCAGTTAATTTCAGTTGTTTCTGAGTCCCTTGCATTTACTGATTTAAGCACAACAACATTAGTCAATTTGTTCAGATCAAAAGTTGAATATATTTTCTATACATGCATGTGGGTTTCTGAAATGAATGAATCACAGCAGGAGATCCAAGCTTTCGCTTCACTTATATTAGAACCATCTATTTATCATATACAGTTCGCGAAACAACGGACAAGAGATACCTTCACCTCCATAGAAGCTTGAACTGGAAATTGTTCTGTTGCTCAAGCTTTGAAATTCCTTACCTACCCATTATGGTTTTCAACTTGAATATCTGAAATCTTGTAGTGCAGCAATACTTAATTACCAATATTTAATACTCGGCCACAACTCAAGAATGGGATGACCTTGGGTAGTCTAAAAATCTCTCAATGGTTCTATAAAGATGATCATCAATATCTTATATATCTTCCCTGGACAAAATAAGAAAACAACCCCCCTAAAAATATGAAACATCCTGCCATACATCAACAGATTTGAACATGTTGGTTTTGGTACTTTAACCCAGCAATCATCATTGTTCACAAGAACAAGAGTTGTCTCATGTCTTTAAAAATGCAAATAGCAATAAAAAAACAGTATACATAGATGGTTGTGGAAAAGTAGAGTATATGTAGTTGTACCTTACAGGCTTACACTATAAATTAAGATCATTTGTTGGCTCATGAGCTTACAAGGTTCAAGCACATGGCAAAGTAACTTTGCTTAGTATGCACAAGGTACAACACTTGGCTAGATTCATAGCCAATTCGAAGCAGTGTAGTGAACAGAGTTAGCTAAAACAGAGTATGGAATACTTTGTATACATAATTAATGTACTTCAGTATATATCTTGTCAATTGAAAGAAGACAGCATTCATTTTCTCTTGTATTAAGAGACTTTGCTAACAACTGATTAGGAAATTTCTGGCCTAAAGGAGTTTGATGATATGTATAATTTCAATAGTTTATACACAGAATATTGCAATCCAATTGTAAAGGACCGTGGTCTATAATAATCACATGAATTCACTGATCCTGCAAAATCCCCACTAGCTAATTACAGAAATCAGTGATTAACAATGGCCACAGCTGTATATGGATAAATACTTCCATCATCAACTCTCATGAATTTGAGTTTTCAGCCTTCTTGTAAGCAATCCACGCGCAATCTTGAACTTATAACTGTACTTCTCATCTTGACTCTTCAAGTAGGGAACAATGTGTTTTTTCATATCTTCATGTGAGATTCCAAGATGATTCCCAGCCACACTAACAAACTTAACTCTACCAGCAACATCAAGGGTTTTTAAACCAATCCAATCTTCAGTGTACAGCTTTGTCTGCAACACACACACAAAAAGGTAGAGGAACGTCAAACTAACTAATGTACAATTACATGCAACAATATGATATATAAGATCACATAGGCTGAAGAACAGCTGGTGGAAACTCCAGTCCAGGAGTTGTTAGACAATCTCCATCACAAAATTTATTGAAAGAGACTGCAGGGCATATAAATAGTTGAACACGTAACATAGGTGATCTGGTAATAAACCATCATACATCAATTCATGAATAGGTAAAGGGCATGCAGCTTTCTCACAAAGATGACACTTAGTATTGGCGGCAGTCAATGGTCATTATTGTAGTTAGCTCAGTGATGCCATTTCAAGCTCTCTTTAATTGTTATCAAGTCTATGCCAGGCAAGCACAAGGTTTACATACATGCCAATATATACAACATATATCTTCCACCACTGTAAGGAACCTAGCCAGAAAAAATTTTCATTGACCATTAATTTCTAAAATAAAGATTTATTAAGTGGAAGTAATATCACTACATTTTCTTGGCAAGACACTTTCACAGATTTGTAATTAAATAAATTTCATGTTACATGACAAAAAATAGTCAAGACCTACAAGACCTTAGGAGTCCAATAAAACTATTTTTAAGGGATGAAACATTAGAATAAAGAAACAAAGATTCCACTATCAATGAAGCCAATTGAGGGTCAGATTTCCAATATATAAAAGGCAAATCTTGATGCTTCTATGCTTTGCTTATTTGAGCTAGATGACTAACTGTGTCAAAGAGAAACATACCTCCTGAGGTGCTAGCAAAGGGCTAAAAGCGCCATCTGGATAGTATCCAAACCAAGAGGTTTCTTTAGGTACCAAAACCGTGTCATGCTCAAACTGTAATGGCAAAAATGTAAGTAAATTGCTGCACGTAAAACACTTCAACCAAAATAAAAATCAGCAAAATATTAAGAAATTTCAAAGTATTCTAATGTACCATAATCAGCACCAAATTTTTTAAGCTGCTGAAACGTTCCTTGTAAGTTGAGTTTCTCTCCTCTGGAATTTCATTGTTAAGTTTTGGGAGAAACCTACACTTTTCTAAGTAGCCATCCATATTCTGAAAAAACAGAAGAAAACACAGATTAGATGATGCATAAATTGGCAGCAAGAAGGGAACATTATGGGCATGATTCACAAGGTTCCACAAGAAATTCCACTGGGTCAAATCAACCGAAAGAAGTAAGTTACAACTGAAGAGATAAATAGTAGAACTACACTTACATTTGGGATTTTAAGATAACCACTGGGAGCCAAATGAGCCTGAAAATCCACAAGATTTTCCAGTTTAAGAAGACTGTAATTAGAAGCACCAAAGAAAATACATAACTCTGAACAGAAATAACATGTTAATGCAATTAAATAACAGTTGTGACCTGAACGTAATCTGAGTAAATCTCAGATTTGATAAGCACATCTGCAAGCTCGCAGAAAAAACCAGCCTGCAAACAAATGCATTTACTTTAGTAAGGGCATAATACAGATTACACAACTCATACAGTAATAAACAAGCAAGCAGTCTTCACCGATGCAATCCAATTTGAGGTGATCATGACTAGGATAAAAGAAGAGACAAATAAACTTACACCACAAAGAGGAACAGAAGCAATGCCAGCATGAGGCCCCCCCAATGAGACAAAGTTCCTAACCTGTTTCAAGCATCAACTTAGAATATTTAGTATTATATTCAGGGGCAGAATCATAAATGAGGAAGTACATGACAAGCATAGGCACCATGGTTGCATGAAGATGAACAGAAACTTCTGATGCAAGATGTGCTAGGTAAGTAATAAACCAAAATAAAATATCTTCATATATTCTTTTCTAATCCTAATTCTTACCGGAGGCCCTCCTTCACAAAATTCCACAACACCTCGCCCAATCAAGTTGCCCTACAACAAAAAGTACAAGTGTCTCAGAAAGAAATAACTGAAAACTGATGTTCAACACTGTTACACTAGAAAAATATCATAGATAGATCAAATTTGCGTAGTATTCCCTTTTAGATCAAACTAGAACAGAATACAGTATCTAAAATTCTTCTTGGGAACAACAAGACATAACACATAATTCAATAATTCAGCAACTTAAGCAAATCAGTACAAGAGTGGCAGCAGTGTACATAAAATTACCTGGGACAGACCAACTATGTTGTAACCATTACTCAACTCTTTCATTTTCTTCACCTATTGATCAATAACAAGTTAGTCAGAGAGTCAAATTTCAAACCTGCACATGTTACTGCCAAGTACCAACAGCTTTCTCACCTTGTCACAAACAATTTGTGTCTGCAAGGCAAAAACAAATCTAAATTAGATTAAGGTTGAGTCAAAGAAAAATATTGTTTAAAAGCTTCTCAGCCTCAATTTCACTGTACCTGATCTTCAAGAGGATTAAACCAGGAAAACCAGGATCCATTACCAATTTCTCTGAGCAAAAGACAACAATAGGGATGGATCAGTACACACATCAACTAGTTGTAAAAAATGAGTTTTGCAGTGCGTGTGTCATCATTTCAAATAGAATGACTGACTAACACAAGAGAGGTCAACAGAGGAAATAGCCATGAAAAAACCATATGTACTGGTTGGACCTTTACTATCTTACAAGTGCGATTGAGATCGAGACCAAAATATGACAATGACACCAATTTCAGGTAAAAATTTAAGGACTTGAAGAGAATCTAAGCATAGATTAAAGGAAGACACAGTCACAATATTCCTTTGACTCCCTCAGATCCATACTCTGAGCTAATGAATCACTAAATGCATGATTCATTGTAAGAGGTATGTCCACACTGCACACACAGAGCTTACCAATTGAGCCCATTTACTAGAATAATATCTTACAAGTGTTCTCAGGCTTTTGCCTATATACAATCAGAGTTGGGAAATACCGCTATCTCCTGATTTTATCCTCTTTCCCAAACCTTATTATCCAGGGATCAAATTCAGAATTTCCAAGTAAATTTGACAGGTGTACAGCACATATCAACTAATTAACAAAAAATAACATTGTTTGAAATCAAAAAATGGTTCAAGTTTCCCAAAAAAAAAAAAATCTTATCTGTTGCAAAACTTCCAAAATCCTTAACGTCAAAAAATTCATCGCAATTTGGTACCAGATAGGGTAACATGCATAATTTAACATGCCAGAAAACAAACATAAGTAAGATGGCAAGTAGTCAAACAGGCCAAAGTTCAGAACACAAAATAAGCAGAGAAAGGGAGAGGACATACATACAATATCCTTCTGATTCTGACCACTCACTCAAGAGCTTAGTAAACTGCTTCATTCCACGATTTTTGCATTGATCTCCAATTCCTACAAGATACATCATCTAAACTGAGCAAGTAACTGGAACATGAAATTTGTACCACAATCCACAAATGAATCTTAAAAAAAAAAAAAAAAAAAAAAAAAAAGATACTGTAAGCTGTAATGATAAAGTCAGCTTTTCTGAGACATTAATATATTAGTCATTACTTCGTATTAAGGTGCACAGGGATCTGTATGGTTTTTTGTTGGTATAACACAATAGTAGAAATCTTGAGTTGTTGGATTCTTTAAAAATCATTTTTTATTGGACATTCTTCCCAATTGGTAAACTAGGGTAAACTACAGAGTGAAAGCTTATGGATCAAAACATGTGCGTTTCATAGTACACACATAGTTGCAATTGCTTTATAGACAAACCTCCAAAGGTAAAATCAATCTTGCAACATTGCATGCAGTAAAATGTGGAAACCTTAAATAAAAATTCCTTTCAAAACAGTTATCCATAACCCAAATAAAATTATAATTTTATAATGCTTGTAATTTGCATGTCCAACATCAACAGAGAAGTCACTGTGTTTTTTAAACTAAAAATTTGTTATTGCGAAAGTATATTAATTTTGTATTAAGTTAAGGGAGACAAATAGTTTAGACTTCCGATCCAATATATAAATGATGGTTTATTAATTGAAGTGATAATCATGTATGTCTCGTTACTAAACATTCTGATGTAATTATAGAAAGTATGAGAGCTGAAGATAACCATATATCCTCAAAAATTATCCTTTCCAGATACTTTCAAGCTTCAGTTGTTGGTAAATTCATGTTTTGCAACCAAAGAGGGCAAGAGAATGAAAGTATGAAACAGCATAAACTACAAGAATTACATGACTCTTAACACATATTAAAGGACAATGTAAAATCCCAAACTTCAGTTACTATGTAAGGTCCCCATGTACTTTCAAAATTAACACCAAATTTCTGAAGAAACTGAAATGGGTGCCCCAAGTATGAAAGGCTCCATAATATTGGTCTATTGGAGTATTGGACGAGAGAAATATTACATTTCACCTAAAACATAAATCTCTGCTCCCCCAACCCCCATCCACCGGGATACTCTGCATTGTAACCTTCACACATTATACATTGACCAAATAGGACAGAATGTATCTTACAGACCTCTTTTCCCTTCTTCTACAAGTTCTTTACCAAGAAGCAACTCATACGCAGATAAACTTTCGATCACACATCTATCAAAGCAATAAAACCCAAAAGTATCATCCCCTACATTGGCTACTTACCGACAACAAAGTCAATATTCCAATTAAAAACCTTCACAACGGAATACTCCGTACCATCTAATTATTAATCAAAACAATATATTCCATAGGCATTCATCCCATATGAATTTTCTACTCCGTGTTTCGGTAAGTCCCATACACCATCAGTTGATTAATCTGGTCATTGACTTCAGTTCTCAATTTGCATAATAGTCCACCAAGCCGATTGCTCCGCCACGACAGGGCGGAACTAACAATCCTCCAAAACCTAACCAATCACCCAGTATTATCATTCAACTAGACACATGTCACATAAATTTGCCCCCTCCCTCTCCCTAATCACAATTCACTCATACCCTTAATAATATACAGTATGTTGCAACCAAAAACCTAAATTTTGACATCAAACCCTGAACTAATCTTGCATATTCTCTCTAATCAACAGTACAGCCAAAACCTAAAACAAGACATTAAAAACTCAATTCCTCACCTCAGCTTGCATAATCACATCAAAAAAACAATATTCAAGCAAAAGGGTAATCAAACAATTGATAATTAAAGTCAAAATTAACAATTCTAACCAACAATGTTTAGAAAATTGCATATACCTATGAAAATCAGTAAAATCATAACATTATATAAACTTAGAGAGAGAGAAAAAGATAGAGGCGTACCATGGAGTACAATAAAGGGAAGAGATTGAGACAAAGGAACAAAGACCAAGATTATGCAGAGAATGACTGCTGAAGATTTCATGATTTCTTGGTCGACGTTGAAATTGTTACAGTTTTTGTTTCATATTAGAGGTTGTTCAAACAGTTGGGAAATGGATAAAATGATGAAATGAAGAAGAAACCCACAAGTTATCAGCTTTAAACAAACAGTGTATGATGTTTCCAGATGACCAGATGCTGTAATTGTGATAGAGAAGGGAAAAACAAGTTTTTTTTGGGGACAAGAACAAGATGGACGAATTTTCAAACAAATGGATTAAACATGAAATGAATGAATTAGAGAGGGCCCCAATATGTATTCTACACTCTTCTCCCTTTTTAATCCGTATACACAAAGGTTAAACCAATATTACTCCGTATTGGTGTGTCATTAAGGTGATGTTCTATTTTACTCGTATTTATTTTGATTTTTTTTCATAGGTATCGAATTTAAGGTTCTCAAAAGTCAACCTAATCCGCGTACACGAGCAAGACTTCTTGAAAGTGGAAGGAGAGAATAAGGAAATTTTCACTTCGAATTGCCTCTAATGAGCATTGATTCTACAGCGTCAAAATTGTTTTTTTTTTTTGGTGTTTAAAGAACCATCAGGGCCGGGAGGGGGGTTAGAATCGATCCCAAAATTTCTTAAAACCGGGAGGAAAGCTCTAACGTTAAAATTGTGACTTAGGTAGTATCATTTTGTGAGATAACAATAGTTATCACTATGGAGTATTAGTCTATTAGACTAGGGACAATGTATTCCTAATGCAGTAAAGCCTACCGTTGGATCTAGCCGTGCTAATTTTGTAGATAATCATAGGACATAAATATGAAGATTAGCACCTTAATTATAACTTTTTTTAATTTCTATTTTTATATTATCAAGTTACATTGTATTTATGTCCAAGTCAATAAGTCATAGTACGGAATAATTGAATAGAGGGAAAGGCTTGCCGTGGAAGTATAAATGTAGTGTTGTGAGACAAAATAAATTGTCTCACAACATAAAAAATTATAACAAATATACTAGTAAGAGTGAGAAAGAAAGAGAGAGATAGAGAGAGTGAAAAAAGGGGTGGAAGGAGACCCACCTTTTTATCAGAAAGGTTTCACATGCAAAAAAAGATAAAAAATAATTGGGATCACAACTATTGAGATAATATTTTGTACCACTGAGAATTTTTGTAGGTATCACTAAAATTGTATTGTGTATCACTGAGTGTGTATTTTGTACCAGTGAATCTCTAATGATATTATTTAACAGTCTAATGAGACATTTGAACCATTTTTGATATACCATTGAAATTTTATTTTGTACCACTGATAATGTATTTTGTACCACTAAATCTACAAAGGCAAAATTTAAATCCCACATAAATTGACCAACATGCCCTTGTGAGACACTTCTACATGTCTCTCAACCCTCCGTTTGGTATGCCTCTATTGTCCATTTGTCCTATTTAATGAAGACAGAACTCCGTTGTCCTATTGAATTTGGTAATCAAGCCAATAATTGGAGTACGGTCTCTTATTAATCCACTAAACTATCTATCTTTTTCACATTCTTCATAATAGTTCACATTGGACTTGTAACATTAAAGGGCCTGCCGAGCTGGGGAGAACTATGACCCCCAATACTTAACTCATACTTCGTATAAAGAGCAATTTAATTGGTGTGACTTGTCAATTTACCATGTACATCCACGTTAGGTGTTTTGTTATGTATATGTAGGTCATAGCAAATATTTTTGCAATCAATTTTTGGCTCAACTTTTAGAGAGGTTGCCTCAATCAGTTTTAACAAAAACTTAAGAATGTTCAAAACTCTTACTTCATTTTTAATTTATTGGCTAACCCATCAAAGAAATATTTCAGTACATAAAACAGTAATATGAATAAAGAATCAAGATAGTAAATTCATTTCTATGGACTTGGCAAGTAGTTGGTTTTGCTTTAATCCATTTGAAGTACTAAAGCAGAAAGGCTGTCAACTCTGAATCTTCTCCAACATAATCACAAGATCTTCTGTTGATATGCCTATTTATGCCATGACCGCATTCAGTTGGCAAGCAACATCTCATGACTTGCTTTGTATTAAATGTATACCACACCTTGCAACGGAATTAAAGGTCATATAATCCAAGCTATTGATCATTTCGAGTTTATACGTAATTTTGTATGTTATTCAACAATAAATTTAAGACTGAAAGGAGTACTGGGGTATCTAGTTATTTGTTCCTGCAAACTTCAACTAACTGTTACTGGTATAATATTGCATTTGGGAATAATTAGCAACAGTTACAGAAAGAATGCTATAGCACAATGAGGTTTCCAACATTAATGGTTTATCTAAACTCTAAGATAAGCTATAAATCTTTCTGACATACTACTAGTTTATTTGCACAAATTATTTCCTTGAATTACAACAATCCATGGCCAACAACTTTCTACTTCCCTTTGGGTTACGGCAGAAAACATGTTTATTTTCTTACCCTTGTTGCTATCACAGTTAAGCACTCAACTATTGCAAAATTTGCAAGGCATTCTTCTTGATAAATCAATCAAATTGATAATTGTTTGCGAATTAGCGCTACAAAAATAGTTTCACTTGTCTAGTCCATTATATACACAAGAAGCAACCATTCAATTACTCGAATGAGTGACAGAGAATTTCAAAAACGTATTAAGTATTGTATTAACTAGTCCGTCTAGATACTCTAGAGAGAATCTTAATCATCTAACATAGATGTACACTTGACATTTTCTTCAGATTAGTACTTCTACTTTCACTGTCACTGTCACCTAAAATCATTCTATCCTAGAACAGGACATCCCTCAACTCGAACACCAGGGGCTGTAGGACACTTAGCAAGCGGGCAGTAATCGTCTTGTTCTAAACCCCACCATTGAACACCAAATATATCCTTGGTTTGCAAACAGAAGTAAAGCAGTATTCCCATGAAAGCAATGCCTGCTTCTAAACCAGCAGACAATATATAGTTGTACCTCGCCCACCATCCTTTGTATGCTTTGTAAACATAGTAGTTGAAGAAGATTCCTACAACTCCCCATGTCAAGTAATTGATAGACCGAGCAGGAGGCATCATCATCGTTGCTGATACGATGACAGGTATGTTGATGAGCTTAAAGAATTTAAAGTGAGGGTACTTGCGCGATAGAAACCATCCTGGAACAGGCAAAAGAAATCCAATGAGGAAGAACCAGTTCAACTGTGGGTAGTTACCGCGATTTGTGAACATTTTGGCTGGTCCAATGACTCCCCATATGATCGATGCATTGTAGAAAACCTCTTCGTCTGGACATGTCCAAGGACTCCCGTCAGGAAGCAATGTTACATTACAAATGTTCTCGACTGTTGAAAGGAGCCACCATGTTGTCCCAAAGTAGACTAAAGATGCTACCACAGTTCCAACTAGCTGATTCATTTTTATGCAAAAATTTGTCAAAATTAGGCCTAAAATTTTTAAGTGTTAAACCAGGAAAACAGGATATGATCTGAACTTCACAGTATCAGAACAACATACATTGCAAATCCGTAATTGAATTCGGTCTAATGCATACCTGGACAATGAACATAGATCTAGGAGGGATCTTCATGTAGTGTCCTAATTTAAAGTCTTGAAGGAGCCAAAGTGCTTGTGTCATGCTAATATAACCATATGTCTTGAATGCTACATTAGCAAGGGGCCGCCCCGGATATATGTATCCGATGATCAGCTCAGTTATCACATTAAGACCAGGTGTCTAAACAAACAAGAAGCAAAATAACAACAATTAGACAAGCTTTAATAAACACACACTTCACTGAAAATTAACTAAAAAAAAATATTTGTAAAAGCAGGGCGCGGACAGATTTATACTATGTTTGTTGTAGCAGTTATGATGCCAATTGGTAAGGTGAAAAATGCAGCAATTCCACAAGCCATTATCAACCCCCACCACGGGAGTTGGAGCTGTTTAGAGAAGCCTTCACAAGCAAGCAACGACAAGGCGAATGTAACGGCTAATAGTATGTGAAACCACCACTGAGGTACTTGTGCATAGTTTCTTTTCATTATTCTGGAATGTACATCAGAAAATTCACCACTTTTCCCTGAGGCTGTTTGGCTCCACAAGCGCCATATTGACCTGCACGCGTTTTTTTCAACAACATAAAGTCAGTTTAAACATTAATCATCCGTTGTTATATGCAAAAATCACTAATTGCATACATGAAAAGAACACTAGAAAATCACAAAAATCAGCAAAAATGACTCACTTTCCATGGAAAAGAGCGACATGTGAGATCGTAGCAGAAAGTGTAGCAAAGCTGAGTCCATAGGTAAGGGCGAAAAAGAGACTAAGGTAGAGCTTGCCATAACTATTGTAAGACTTAATATCCAAGCTGAATGTATTTTTATCCATGACTCGAGAAACATTGTACATATGGCCAGTATGATCAAAAGTACTCGAGGAGATGAATGGAAACCTCTTAGCCTCATATGCATTCGAATAATAAGCAGCAGGAACAACCAGATACGCGACTAAGAAAAACCCGGCCATAGTATTTATGATGGCATGACTTGGGGTCGATAAGGGACTTCCTAAGAAGCTTATGACAGCATTCCAATCAAAAGAAAAAGCTCCTATCCCAAGTCCATGAAGTCCTGAACCCATTTGTTGCATAAATATGTTCCTCTTCCATAACCAACAGAGGATCGAAAGACATCCAATCGAAGGGAAGAGGTAGCCAGGGACAACATAATAGGCAAAGCTTGTTGCTATAACCATGAGAAAGAATTGTAGTCTAGTTAGTCCTCCCTTTGTCCTTGTGTCGTTTTCGTGTAAGGTCCTGTTAATTAAATAAGATCATTACATACATACACAATTAGCTAGCAATTAAGGTGTTTATGTTATGGTATAGAATTAGCATATGAACCTGAACAGAGAGACTTGGACTAGATTTGATGGCCACCACATATACGGGGAGTCGACTAGGTATTTTCTGAATAGACCAGCCCATCCATACCCAAGCAACTACATAATATCAACCATTATAAACCAACAATGTTAGATAAACTCAATTACATTATTTATATACATCAAACTCCATAGAAAAAGTCATAAATCATGTTCAATAATCAACATTAACGCGATTTTATGACCATTAGACTGATCTGTTGATTGGCTACCTAAGGAGGAGTGTACATTAGTACATATTCTAAGATCATATTACTCTTAATATGAACATAAGCCTAAACATGTAAATAATTTACGCGAAAAGACCCAAATC